AGCCAACATTTTTTAAATAGAATAAGGGTGACAAACGAGCACACTGTCCTGATTGTCAGTGAATGCTGTGGCCTATTGACATTAACATTTATTCTCGATTAAGAATCAAAATGCAGATGCATTTTCACCTCTGACGACTAAGATGGAATGACTCGTTCCCAGTAAAAAGGGTCTTCGGTTCTCTACGCTCACCATACGAAACAGAGCAGCATTGAGCTATTTTACACTAGTGTTCTGTGAGAGCATGATCCATGATGGAAAGTGACTACTGCAGCCTATGAAAAGCTTCAAACAACTTAAAACACTTTACCGTCAACCTGACCCTGACCTGCAAATTCCAAAAAACGCAAGAAAATTTGAATTTCGCGGGCCACTCTGGAGCTTTCACCTTAAACATTTGGCACTAATATATCCTGCTCAGTTGTTAATAACGCCACTTTAAATTTAAAGTCTTGGTCAGAATGGTTGACGCTAAAAAGAAAATTAAAAACCTATGTGCATTGGATACAGAATTAATAACGTATAACATTTATTTCCCACTCGTTGCCCTTGATCGTTAACAGTGAAATAACATCGGCAAATAAATCTATACAACAACGAGAGCATATTTAATGACGACTCGAACATAAAGGAGAACTGGCTGATGAAAAACAAATTCCGCATCAAAATGGCTTTCCAAATTCAAACAGATACCAATGAAAATCGGACGCGTGGCGTTTTATGGTTTCAGAATTACGCACATGCATCTAATAGAACACTTTTCGTTCGTAAATATACCTTACTGCCATAAAAATAGGGATTTAAAACTAATCTAAAGAAGTAAAGCATCATTTGTTCAACTGATCCCGCACGTGCAGCGCTCATGCAATTTGCGAAACTCCCTGCTTTCGAAATTTGAGCTTTATTTTTGTTAAAATAAAGTATACGGATATAAAAATATGCAACGCGTTGCCAGTAAAATAGTGCAAAAGGCCGCGTGCGTCCAAAGATAAATGTTTTCGACAAATAATTACGTTGTTTGATTTTAGATGGATGATGGTAGTTGAGCAAATATGGGAGCTCGTGGGAGAGAATTATGGTGTGTGCATTAGGTTTGATTCTAATGTGATAATTGGGGAGGAAGTAATTGAATGACTTGCAACTACAAATGAAGCTTAACAGAGTTCGAATCTGTAATTATAAATATATTATGTATATTTTAGTATTATAATTTACCTAAATGATTGCATTTATCAATTTATCAATTTTAACCGAAATTAGAATAGGAGATATATAAATTTTCAACTTAAGACCGGTTCCATTACCTTAGACATTAGGCGAGCGTTTTAGAAGAATCAGGTAGTAAACGGTAGCTTATAGTGATAAGTACTACTCGCTTTACTGAGATTCTCTTTTTTCTACTAAAATCAAATGGAATCGTATGTAATATTTGTTTCGAAAACGCGAGTCCATTTGAATGTTTCTAATATCCTATAGCAGAGAGATATCGTTAAAAATATTTTTAAGTCATGCGATATCTCCGTGATAAATTTAGTAACAAGGCTGCTTTTATATGCCGCTAGACTTTAGCTCTCAAGTCGATTTATAGTTTTTTTAAAAAAATAATTTCGGGCTTATATAATACTTTGCCGGTTTTCACGCATTTTACAATACATTACGCATTAACGGATCCTTGGCGCAGTGGCTTAGCTTAAGTTGCGGTGCCGCGGGTTCGAATCCCCCACGGAACAAGTATTTGTATGACCTACAAATAATTGTTACGGGTCTGCATGTCCTTGTGCTCATTTATATTTGTAAACTTCCTCCATGATACATGAGAAAATCCTAGTGTGGGGTTAACGTTTTTTTTAAATACTCGAAAGCAAGAGTGTACAGCCAGTGCGTGTTGTTTGTCATTGATGACATGACCACATTTCAGATCCTTATACGAGATGTGGTCCTTCACTGCAGCCTGAGCTATGCTCGGAGTTTTTATGCGTGATATAATTGGTAACGTGGATATTCGCAGTAGAACAAGTGTAACTGAAATAGGCTAACATATCAGTGAGTTAAAGTGGTAACGGGCCGGTCATATAGCTTGAAGAACCGACAGCCTATAGGGTAGAAAAGTTCTCGAGTACCTTGCCTTACCGCGTCCTTAGATACCGGTAAACGAATTGGAAAGCGATCCCAACTAGATGGAGTGAAAACCTGGTAAGACATGTAGGAAGTTGATAAATGCAGATGGCTCAGGACCGTGCTTTGTGGTTTTCCTATGGCAAGGCCTATATTAAGTGGAATTAATGATGATGAAAGTACTGCTACAGGACGTAGGCTCCAAGAATGTGTCAGTTGGCATGCATTACTTGGTAGATTTGCTCATACTCATATCGTTTAGCCGATGGTTAGCTAGCCATGCTGCGGGTATAATTATTGTATAGTTGTAGCACGAATGGGTCGGCTCGACTGGGGAAGGATCACGTTCTCACAGAATACCAGCGTAAAATGGCAGCTTTCCACTGCTGTGTTTCGTATGGTGAGTGTAGAGAATGGGAGATCCAGTTTACTGGATACGAGGCATTCCATCTTAGTCCTCGCGGGTGACGACGTATCTGCATTTTGATTCTTTATTGAGGATAAATGTAGATGTCTATGGGTCACAGCAACCACTTACCATCAGGTGGACTGTGTGCTCGTTTATCACCCTATCCTATAAAAAAAAAGATTTCCACTTTAAAAAACCTGGCATTCCCCTCACCATCGTACCTTAAAAGCTACTGCTTATCTAATAGAGGCTTATTCTTTTTTTTATCTCTGGTGGAAACTTTTTATCTTTTACAACTATACTAACTTATGGTCGCCTAGTACTCGATATTCAACTTCAGCAAGCCGTGTTTCACATTCATTCAACTATCACGCGATCAGTAAGTATATTTATTTATTATGTATGATTTGAATTGAAAATTAATATATAAAAAACAGATATTATATTATAGTCGGTCGGTGGATTAGACATACAATTTACAGACTTTTTACGTGGTAGAGCCATGCTACAGCTATGACATGGCTCTACCACTCTTTTAGTTGTAGCACGAATGGGTCGGCTCGACTGGGGTAGGACCACGCTCTCAATGAATACCGGCGAACAATCGTAGTGCGATGTGTTTCGTATGGTGAGTGTAGAGAAGCAGATACCCTTTATCTTAAAACGAGGCATTATAGCTTCATCCTCAGGGGTAGCAATGCATATGAATTTAAATACTTAATCGAGGATCGATTTGGATGTCTATGTGCTATAATATCCACTTGCCATTAGGTTGACAATATACTCGTTTGCTATTATTATACTATAGTTTACAAACTGAAAAAAAAATTGAAATAAGTGTAATTGAACGCTATAAAATCCGTATTAAAAATAGGTTTATTCAATGGGTAGTGTTCCCGTAAATATAAGCAATCATTATATAAAATTACAGCTTATAATACACAGGGTTTCCCATTCTCTATACTTATGATACGAAACAGCAGTATTAAGCAGCTATTTTACGTTGGTATTTCGTTGATCTAAACCATTCGTGCTACAACCACAATACAGCTGCAGCGTTGCTCTACAACGCAACGGTTTATGTAACTTATTCTCCAAATATTAAGTACACATGCAATTGGTGTACTCTGTTTATTAAAGAATGAACCTCACGACTGATTAAATCAGGCTGCAAGAGTACACTTCTGTACTCACTGCTACGAGTATCAATAAGAAGGACAAAAGGAAAAACAGGAGTGTTAAAGGTGCGAGACGTCTGGTACTCGGAAAATCCTATCGACAACAGCAGAAGCCATGTCCAGCGGTGGACTTACTATTATTATTATTGTTTAATTCTTAATTTAACTTGTAGTGGCGGTGTAAGAATAGCCTCCACCCCACGTCATCCCGTGGCTGTCGTAAGAGGCGACAGAGGGAAACAAATCAGGAGCTGGGCAGTAGCGTCTTCCTATTAACGATAAAAAATAAAAAACTTCGCTTGTCAACCCGTTTGCCAATTGTGGCAACTATGGCATATTTCCTCTCCCTACTATGAGGCAGTCTATGGGGGAGGCCTATGTTCAGCAGTGGACTTTTATAGGCTGTAATGGATGGATGTATAGAAGATAAAATACCAGGAGCACATGACCCGCTGAGAGGTGAGATTTTTAAATCAACGGTAACATTACAACTATGGATAATATTTCCATATAAGGAAATCTATGGAGAGGCCTATTTTCAGCAGTAGACTTTAATAGGCTGTAACGATAACGAATTTAGATACTGGTATTTAAAAAAAAATGTTTATTTTAAACTCGCATGCAATCGAATTCTTAACAAAGGGACAAAATCTAATTGTCATTCTGAGTACTTATTTAATGTGTCCTCCACATACCAAACCGTTTGATGAAATTTCTAATCCCCTAATAAAATTACACACTACGTGCTTGGAGGGTTTAATAAAAATTCCATTGAATAGCAATGCCCAGTAGAAATCGAATTAAACAACGTAATCGGGTTCATAAAATTTATTATACCTAACGAGCAGTAAATTTATGTAAGAAAATATACGACAATTTCGCTTAATTAATTCGCAATACGAATTTGCCGAGTCTAAACGTTTGTCTCATAAATTATTTCTATTTACAATTCTAACAATTTACAAATATTTGTACAACATTTCCATTCATAGTAAAATACACTTGAATTACAATTATTTGGATTAAATGGCACAATAAATAAGCTTACCTAATTGTTCATTTTGATATTTGTGATCACAACATGGAGATGACTTTTCATTGTCTCTCAATTTTAACGAGACATCTAACAAACTTACATGGCGCTTGATTTCATTGATACAATTCAATCTAATTAAGTGTACAATATAGTAATTAGTAGATTATAAAGAATTCGATTCAAATCAACATCTTTAATATCTTAATTACCGCGATTAAATTCGTTTAAAGATAAAATGTGCGATAACATTGTAAAGTCAGTCTCAAGAAAAGCGCGAAAGGTTCTGCACTTCATAACTGGTATCGTTGTCACTAACAACATCTATATGTTCGGAATCGTTTTCGCACGACGTATCAGAGTTTTTCGAAGTACACGACGCCTTTGTGCAGCAGCACTTCTTTGTCCTTCCATCAATCGAGCTCATTGGACTCTCTTCCTTCTTTAGCTTGACACGGCGGTTCTGGAACCAGATTTTTACTTGTTTCTCTGATAATTTTAGCCTGGACGCAATTTCGATCCTTCTCAATCTGGAAAGGTACATGTTCATGGAGAACTCTCTTTCTAATTCGAGAAGTTGCGTACCTGTGAATGCTGTCCTTATGCGCTTACTTGAATCTTCTTTGAGAGGGAGACGCTTGAGGTCCTTCGAATAACCAGGTAGAAGTTCCTCTGGGTGAGCGAGTGGAGGACTTGGTGTTCCATTTCTGCTTTCACTTGACAAGGATGGTGATCTTTGACCTTGGCTCTTTGAGGGTGATACAGCTGTGGATTTGTACGGGTGATGTAAATAAGGCGACACTGATTTTTTTCTTTTACACACAAAGTTAACTGGTTCTTGACCCTCAGTATTCTGATGGCAATTAATGACATCATTTTTAGCACGTTCGTAGAAGTCCGGATGAGGTGGCAACTGATGCAGAAGTGGATAACGGAAGTTGAGTTGCTCTAGAAACGGTCGGAACAGATCCGGTGCTCGGCTCTGCTGTTGTAATCCAAGACTTAACAAATTGTTTAAATTCCCTGGATAAGGGTACGGTATGAACTTAGGTTGTCCCAAAAAGCTAGCGTAGGGGTGCAACGAATCACTGGACATCTCGGTCTGCTTGCAGTCCTTCGATGTGTCACTTATCAACGTGTCTACAAGGAAGGATCGCGACATTTTACCGCGGTAGTTCACTCTGTGGGGTTTGCTTTGCAACTGATTACGAAGGGTGAGATCTCCTAAAAGTAACAATTACAAAAACTACCCCCACTTAGTGCACCCTATTGTAAACAAACACAATAGGCCTCACTCGAAGCGTTTTGGCAATTACGTGGCCCGTCCCACCCTTTTGTCGGCGAGCCGTCAACCCCAGTGCTATTTCAAAGAAAGAAAAAACTGTATTATTATGAATGGAGCATTTTAGTAGCTATGAATAATTTTGTATGGGACGCTAACATCCCCAATATCTATCTCATTAAATCCAATTTTTATTTGAATTTTTGTGTATATTCCTTCTTGAGATTTTGTCAATTTCAATTTCGTCTTTTCTTATCTATATACAAATAAATAAAATTGAAGTGTCTGTTTGTAATGTCGAAATAACAGCTTTTTACTATATGCATATGAAAGTATATACGGTACTTATAACAAAAACACGATTTTTTAAAATATTTGTCTATCTGTCTGTATGTTTGTTCCGTCTAATCTCCTAAACGGCTGGACCGATTTTGACCGGATTTTCACTGACAGGTAGTTGATGTTATAAGAACTACGACTAAGACTAAGAGGATACTTTTATTTTAGAAAAAGTATAAGGGTACCGCGCAAAATATATATATATATATATATATATATATATATATATATATATATATATATATATATATATATATATATAAACATAATGTTTCTATCGGGGAGCAGGACTTTATGATATTTATAGTTCTTAGTGTTTCACATTGTTATAAATTCTTCTTCTTCTTCATTTTCATCATCAGGTCATTAAAGTCCACTGCTGAACACGGGCCTGGTCTGTAGCAGGAAGGATTTGCCTTAATCATCACTGTTTGTCTGTTTCCCGTCGCTGATTTTGTCCAACTAGTAGAAGTCACGTGATTTTACTGGCTTTTCTGATAGTTGTCTCCTGCAACACTCACGAGACGAAATGTGGTGATGGACACTCTTACACCACCATCACGCATCCGATTACAAATAAAGTTTACATGTAATAAAAATTATGTAACTAATTGGATTTTTTTTAAATAAAATAAAGGTGACAAACGAGCACACAGTCCACCCGATGGTAAGTGAATGCTGTGGCACATAGACATCTACATTTATTCTCGATTTAGAATCAAAACGCAGATGCGTTGTCACCCCTGAGGACTAAGATGGAATGTAAAAAATTACTCCGGTCTCTACACTCACCATACGAAACACAGCAGCACTGAGCTGATATTTTACGTTGGTATACTATTTAAAAAAATGGTAGCCAGAAAATTTAAAAAAAATTTCTAAAATGCACAATGCAACGTACATAAAGCGAAAGTATAGATATTATAAAACTTTAGGTTACTAAGGAATTAAAAGAATCTGATGTAATTTGCTAACGTCTAAGGTTGTTAATAGTAGGAAGTTTTAGATTAAAATCACCACTAATCCCAGCACCGCTACTTCCAACACCACTACACTAGGCAAGACACACCACTGACAATAATACGACACGTGTTTCGCCTCTACACGAGGCATCCTCAGGTGATATAGACTCTACGGTGGCTAACCGCTAAGCTTAGCGGTGACGGGGAAAGTGTACGCAATTGAGGGAGGGCGGGAGGTGCTCTTCATACTAGGTAAGACACATCATTTTATTTTATAACGCGGATATTTGCGAAGTAAATTTTTCTAAAAGCTTTTATATAATGGATTTCCACAAAGTAACGCCTGATTCTATTAATTAAAGTCTTAGATTGCTAACAATGCTTTTAATGACCGTATAAGCAAGTGGTTCGAATGTTGCCGTTTATTGGACTACGAGCTACATTCTGCAATATTTTAATATGACTATTCGTAAATTTATGTGATAACAACTGTTACTATTACTACATATTAAAATGTTATAAAAATCTTTATATTTTATGTGTGTTATATGCAATATATAACAACACATATATATCATGTATGTTGTTATATATTTATTATACTACATGACAAGGCATAAATTTAAATTTAATGAAAGTTGTTATGATTAATAAAATTTATTAATCATAACAACTTTCTATATATCTACAAATTTATTTTTTCAGTTAGAATTTAAATAAACGGAATCTATTAAAATATTAATGCAAATATCAAAATCGTTCGGACGTTCTACAAAACAGCGTATTAATTAAGTATGAATACCCTATAATATGAGCCGTATGCTGCACGCGTGATCCTGATACTTGTAAAAGGAATCTTTCTGCATAGGGTGGGTATACATTAGCCCCGCCCCATTAAAAAGCAGACCCTGCGGAACCCGTTTATGAAATATTAAAGGGTCGAACAATGTTTGGTAGCAATATAATTGTGAATCAATTTATGTTATTATCATGTCAGTATTAATTTGTAAGTAAGCCTTTCAATTCCTGCGAAAACTAAGTGTTTTGTTATGGCCCTCCTGATATATTTATTACCTATGCTTTATAATAACTTTAGAATGCGTCTCGAGTTGATGAGATTTACGATTTATTGCACGAGAAATTTTCACCAATATTTTGTACCAGTATAATTATGTAAATAATATTTTATAAAGCCTATTCTAGCATTATTTTATCGAAAGATACTGCATTTAATCTGGTTCTATTTATATTTCAATTATTATTGTGTACATGTTAGTTTTAAATGTTCTATGCATTATAGTGTCGTTCCAGATTAACTTTGATGTTTAAGTTTTTACCGTTTACCTTTTTTATTGAACCAAATTAAAAAATAACAATTATAATACGTATATAAATATCAATTCTATATTTATTGTATATATATATACATATATAGTACGTGAGGGTATAATGCTCCTTCGGTTAATATGGTCACTTTCTTATAAGTAATTCAAAAACTACAGCGTTGTTTGCATAGATGGTTGTGTGATACGTAGCTCTTCATCCACAGAACACAATTGCTCTCTACCGAGAGTCTTCATCAGTCAATCAAGAGAGTTTTGGCGGGAACTTGACCGGCGGCGGTTTGCTGCTCCTGTTTTATTGTTTAAATAATGGTTTGAAGTGGACTTTGATATGTAAAAGTGGTGCGTTTTTGTGTATTTAGTATCTGCGCATGTGAACTATTATTGGAAACTGTGAAACAAGTGCTCTGATAGTGATGTGATTCTCAAAATAAGGTGCCTGTCTGCTTAGGCGCCTTGAGATACCATCGCCAACCGTCAGCTGTCTGCTGGCTCAAGTTACCGTCAAAATCTCCCAAGGGCTGCACAATGTGACACATGAACATATTGTGAAGCAGTATACTATGAAGAATAATTATGATAATTTAATATTGTAACTTCAGGCTCAGAAGGGCTAGATCCCAGAGCCGTAAAGCGAGTTATCAAGAAGAAGAATCAGTCAATCAAATAAATGGTTAAAAAGGCGATGCTTTATCGACGCCATTTTGGCCATTTTGACAGTTGACATTTTCGTATATATTTTAGTCGATTTTAATATTGTGTAGTGTCGTTAGTTTTTTTTAAGTTGATTTTTCGGAGTGTTCCTAATTATTTCCAAAGCTTGTTTGCTATTTTTTTCTTAATATATTAGTTATAGTATCCAACTTTGTGTTTTTGTCTCTGTCCTCCTCCTAGTTTTGGTTTTATAGAGCGGCAAAGCTCAGGTTTACTATATTACCCTCACGTACCTTAGTCGGTATCATTATAAATCTAGTTGATATTTGAATACATATGAATACCTATATAAAATACCATTAAAACAATAAGATATAGTAAACGTATTCCAAAAATAAAATAAAAACCAGACGCTATCTATTTATTTATTTTCATAATATATATATACTCACCGGCACGGAAACTTGGCCACTCGTGAATTTGCTGGTTATTTGCACTGAAACGTTTTTTTAACAGTAAATTAAGGGTAGATGCATTCAATAAGTGTCTCTAATGGTTTTAGAACGTAGAAATTTAATGTTTACTTCACCGAAATTTTTCTTTTCAAGATAACATGTTTTCACTAAAATTAACATCTTTCCATTGTCACTTTAAAAACACTACAAAGTTAAAAATTAAGTCTGTTTCTTTATTGTCTATCAGTTTTAATATCGGGTGTTTCCTCCCCTAGCCCTGATAACCGCTTGCATTCGATCTGGCTTGCTTTGAATGATGTTTCTGACATCAACTTGCGGTATGCTGTCCCAAGCGGCCAGCGCTGCATTTCGGAGCTCATTTAGAGTTTGTGGCGGTTTGGAGCTGGACTTTATCTTTCTTTTGAACATACCCCATACATGCTCAATTGGATTTAAGTCCGGGCTACGAGCTGGCCACTGTAATTTTTGTATTCCAACCTCTTCCAGATATTCCTCTACACAATGTGCGACGTGCGGGCGTGCATTATCGTGCATGAGGAGGAATTGGTCGTGTCCAATGAATCCCGAATAAGGAATTACGTGCTCCTGAAGAACTTCCTCGATGTATCGAGTAGCTGTAAGCCGATTATCGACGATGACCAACTCTGTACGTGCGTCGGAACTTACACCTCCCCATACCATTATTGAGCCTCCATGGAAACTCACAGTTTGGGTGGTGGTAATGGGTAGAAACCTCTCTCCTCTTTTTCTCCACACTCGTTCTCGACCGTCTGGAGCACGTAAAGCTATTCGACACTCATCTGTGAACAACACTCTAGCCCATTGCTCGTGGGTCCAATTGACATGTTCTCTTGCGAACTGAAGTCGGGCTACTCGGTGCTGTCTGAGAAGTTCTGGACCTCGTGCTGGTCTACGAGCTTTTAAATTCACTTCCTTCATTCGTCTTCTCACCGTACGCTCACTAACATTAACGCCTCTTGCGATTTGGAGCCGCTGGCGTATCTCAACAGCGGTCAGGTAGCGGTTTCTCAAAATCTCCATAACAATAAAACGATCGTCCCGGGCCGATGTGCACCTTACGCCCCCACTGCCTGGGCTGCGGGTGT